TATTATTATTATTATTATTATTATTATTATTATTATTATTATTATTATTATTATTATTATTTCCGTCGCGAATTGGCCTTTCTATGGACCACGCGTACATGCGGTTATACCCACCAATGCCCAGTCATATTTCTTTATTGTGGGTATGCGCGTTTAACAATATTAGGGGGATCAGCATTTGGGCTGAGTCCATTTTTACGCCCTAGAGTTGTTAGCCCTGGCGGTATGGAAGATGAAATGGTGATTATGAAGGGTGAAAGGACGACACACTCATACAAAGACAAAACACTCACATCCGAAGACCCGCGATCTTCTGGTCCGAGACCGTTACGGTGCCACTGCCTTAGCGATCTCGGCCATCTGACCGATGATGATGATGATGATGATGATGATGATGATGATGATGATTATTATTATTATTATTATTATTATTTTAAATTCCTCCTTCCTTCTCTTCTCATGAAGGCTATGTGAAATAAAATTCCTAGACCATTTCAAATCTTAATATTTAATGTTCAATTTTTTGTTCTTTTTGTTTATTTAGGTATGTGTAAATAGTTTCAACATACTGGATCCCGAGATGCTTGCTATTGGTACTGGTATCTATCTTTCTGCATCTATAATAGACCATTCCTGTGATCCAAATGCGGTTGCAGTATTTGAAGGAACAACATTGTACATAAGAACCATAAAACAATTTTCTACCCTCGATTGGAAAAAGGTATGATGCGCTTGATTCTTTATTGTCATAACTATTTAACACTATAAATGAAGATAGCCCATTTTAAGAGAACATGCAGTTTTTATGTCTTCCATTAGTATTTCCATTTTTACTTTCCTGTATACATACATTTAAACGATGTATTATACAGGGAAAGTTATGTAATGCTGCGGAAAATTGATTCCAAGATTTCAACGTAGAATTTTTTCCCAACTCAAGAAACCCCTTTCCATCTGGCTCAAGTCGAAGATTTGAGATTTTGAAAAAAAGTCTTTCAAATTTGGGGGTGCTTTACATGAAGCCTCCCGGAAATTTTCAAAATTTTCTCAAAAGCGGCTCAAAATTTTTTCTTTAAAATTCATGTAAGAATAGATTGAAATGCACTTATAAAAGTGACATAGGTCCAATTTTCAGGTTTAACTCTGAATTTTTCGAAAATTTCAACTTTTTCACGCGTCTTTCTAGAATTTCTTGATATTTTCCCTACAAATAAACTTTGTAGTGAGGACTTTTCATTTAATTCATGTGCTTTTTTTGAAAATTTTAGTAGTTTTGCGCAATATTGGGAGCAATATGTGCAATTTGAAAAAATTACAAAAACAAGATTTTCTCTAAAACGGCTCCAAATTTTTTCTTCAAACTTTTGGTAGGGTTAGTGCTAAATGCGCTCTGTAAGATGATATTAACGCCATGTTTCTCTATTCTTTTGTTTTTTCATAAATTACAAAAATGTATTTTTTCACCTTTCTCTCACGTCAATATTTACATGAGCGGTAATTTGTTTACATTATTATATTTATGAGTACATGCACTTTAAATAATGTCATAAAATTTCTCGGAAATTCAATCGTTTTCTCTGAAAACTAGATTAAAATTCCGCATTTTCAGAAATGCTCAAACACCATTCAGTCTCCTTCATTAATGTCCAAGCTTTTTATAAGGTGTGGCGTAATAGTCTTTTAAACAAAATCAAAAGCTCATTATCATTAGAATTCTTAATTTTAAAATCTTCTCTGAAAGATTTTTTCAAGTGAAACATCAAGAAGCATACAGCAGAATATTTCCCCTTTATGTTTGGCATGCCCCAAGGAAGCGTTGGTCCTGTTCTGTATTTATTATATAAGCAGATCTTCCAATGTCTGAAAATATCACCATTGCAACTTAAGCGTACGGCACTGCAGCTCTAACTTCTCATTAAGATCATGAAAAAGCCTCAGAATTGCTGGAGCCACATTTAAACAAATTATCAACGGAATTCAAAAGGTGGAGAATTCAAGTCATAATCTTCTCATGTGACATACACCTCCAAAAGAAAACTTGCGCCCAAATTACAATGAATAATAAGTTATTGCCACCGACAGATATATTAAATACTTAGGAATGCTCCTTGACAGACGATTAACGTGGAAAAAGCACATTGACCGGTAGTCATCCTTAGCGACTACGAAAAAGGTGGGTCGCCTTACCTTTCAGCTAGCTCAGTCGGTAGAAAGGTAGCCTGAAAACAAGGGATGGCGGGCGGACGGACGTTTCGATTGAAATAAAACAAAATTAGAAATGAAGTTAACATAAAGTTTAATGATTCAAGAAAGAAAATTCGCAATTATTATTATTATTATTATTATTATTATTATTATTATTATTATTATTATTATTATTATTATTATTATTATTATAGGCCCAGAGCTTGTTGGATTTTCCCCGCAATTAAAACCAAAAACTAAGTAAATTCTTGTATTTAAAATTACAAGATTTTTCTCTGATTCTTTCTTAAGAGCCAAAGGGCGGCTGAGATTATTTCCTTTCTTAAAAAAAACAACAACAAACAAACAAAACTTGAGGAATGAAGATTTGAATTTAAAAGTCCGTTTTACTTTGATGCCTGAGGGGCAGTTGAGAGATTACAGCCAAACTCATAAATACACGTCACCGTTGTAGCATTGTGCGCTGGGCTGAATGTTTCCCTGGAAGGGGGGCGACCTTGGAGATCACTGTGCTAAAGTTTAGAGACCATCAAATAATATTTCAGGATTAAAATGTTATGTTTCAAAAGGGCGAAATAAATAAATAGTAAATTAAACACGGTCGCCAGTCATAAATGGCAATAAATAATTAACCGTAGTGGACATCAACTGGCAAAGCACGTATGCAGGAAACGGGTCAAGGGTGTTCATAGTAAATGGGTATATTTCTGCAGTGGAAAAAAAATGGATATCAAACTTTCAATTAACAATCAACGTTTATTTGATAAAAGTAAATTTCAACAAGAAGAACAGCAAATTGAACCCTTAAATTTTCAAAGGGGCACGAACATGGGGTCTAGGGAAAAAGAACACTAAGTGTACATAAATTAAATGAAATCAGGGCCTCGCTTTTACAATTTTGAAAGTCGCAAATTACTCTCTGAGGTTGCGACACCAACTGGGTGTCGCTCTGTGCCGGAGAAAGGGCAACGCCAAAATT